ATATATTATATGAAACCTAACATATGAGTTAGTGATTTTAGTATTAATTTAAGCATTTGTTTAGAGGGGAGTAGAAGAAATAAATGAAAAATGAACTAACCAATAGAGGAATACAGAGAAGACAAAGGAAAAGCAAGCCATGAACAAATAAAGACCAAAGGACCACTGGGTTCCCAGAGGGAAAGCTCAACTCTTTCAGGGACCAGTTGATCTCCCCACAAAGAAGACACTACCCATTGCTATGCTTGAGTGTATGTCAAAGACACTTGGAGAGACAGATATCATTTTGCTATCTTAATTATTTTTCATTTCAACTTTTTAAGTAGGTGTATGGAGTTATCAGTCACTTTTCTATAAAATAGCAGTTATTAGTCTATAAAATAGGTTATTTACAATCAGGGTCCTATTTTAATGAATTCATGAAGTCTCTAGATAATTCTCTTTTAATATTATCAAATCACCTTTGTCTAACTTTTCTATTGCCATAATGCCTTGCTATAGTTTAAATGCAGGACGTTTAGTTCAACAAACTTTTAATTAAGATGCTAACAACATAATCAGGTTTAATGTGATTAACAAGTTTGCAGTGACCCTGCAGGATCAAGCACTCAACCATAGGTCATTTTGAATTGCAAGGTCAATGGTTCAAACTCACCAGCTGCTACTTGGAAATCCTTTTCAGGGTCATTATGGATTGAAACCAATTTGATGACATTTAACAACAGCATTTTTAATTTGAGAAATGCTGTGGCTCAGTAGAAAAGTAGTGGATTGCTTACCACAAGGTTGGCTATTCGAGCCCACCATGGGAGAATATGGGAGAAAGCAGAGGTTTTCTCCACCTATAAAGACATGTAAAACCTCAGAAACTCTATGAGTTTGCGGTGACTGGATGGCAATTAACAACAACAACAACAACAACAATAAATGTCAATTTGATTATTGACAACCATAGTTATAAAGTCCAATTTATGGACAACTGAACTAACACTTGCCCTTTAATACAAAGTTGATCCCACTTTGAAATTGCTGAGCCAACACCTACTTGCCTACACATTCATCCTTACAATCACCTTCACTTGCTGCATGTGCAGTTTTTCAATCATTGAAAAGACTTCCGGGCTTTTTTTGCACTAACCAATCCAACAAACCTCACGCTACTACCATGCTTCAAAGCCTTACTCTGAGGCAAAGTAGAATTGCCCCCAGGGATTTCCAAGGCTGCCATTTTATGCCAGCCCGTTGCCTGTTCTTCCTTCTGAGAGTAGCTGGTAGGTTAGAACCACTAACTTTTTTTGAGTAGACAAGTACTTTATCCACTGCACCCCTAGGACACCCCCTCTTGCACTAAAGTCAACCTAAATAAAACTGTATTCTGAAGTACATGATAGACTTTCTTAGAGGTAAAGACAAATGTAGGAAAAGATCTCCTTTGTAAGCCAGGACCTTCTGGACCAAGGACTCAGTGACTGTAAATATAATTTAAATTTTCATATTCACTTTTTCTGTATCCCTTCACACACTTAAGACCAATGATGACTTAGTAAAAACCTTCAATATTTGGCACTTCTCTTTGAATATATATCCCAACATCATTTTGTATCAGAGTTGTATAGATTTTTAAATATGCTTTTGCATGAATATTCACAATATTTTGACATTGCACTGTTGTGTTTTTTTGATGGTTATTGAAGACGTTTTACTTCTAAGGTTATCTACATTT